CCACACCAATTTCATGTACTAGGCCACTAGCTTATAAATAATGACATTTCTTATTTTTTAAAAAAATATATTTAATTGATTTTTTACAGAGAGGAAGGGAGATAGAGAGCTAGAAATGTTGATGAGAGAGAAACATTGACCAGTTGCCTCCTGCACCTACTCCCCCTCCCCGCCCCCCCATTGAGGATGTGCCCGCAACCAATGCACATGCCCTTGACCGGAATCGAACCTGGGACCTTTCAGTCTGCAGACCGACGCTCTACCACTGAGCCAAACCGGTTTTGGCGACATTTCTTATTTCTTACTTGCTGACCCTCATACCTTTTATCTCTTCCCTGCCCTTACTGCGCTGGCTGGCTCTACAGCACAATACTGAACAGAACCAATGAAAGCAGGCCTCCTTGTCATGTTACTTCTAGTTTATTTCTGAAATACTTTAACTCTAAAATTTCCTCTGAGCTGTCAGCTCGTTTTATTTCTCCCTGTTGCCCATCTCATTTCTGAACTTTCCCAATTTAGGTGTTATGTTGTTCTTAGGTTCTATCATTTCTGAAATTCCTTTAGCATTTTAAAAAATATTATTTTCCTCTACTTTGTAATTGTTTCTGGAATATCTTCATTTTCTGTGGGTGTGTTAAATTATCCTGTGTTGTTTTTTTTTTTAAGAGCATATTGGTCATGTTTAAGAGGCATGGCTTTTTTTTTTTTTTTTTGCATTTTTTCTTTAATTTTTTTATTGATTAAGGTATCACATATTTGTCCTCAACCCCTCATTCCACCCCCCCTCCCGCCACATTCATGCCCACATCCCACTTTTGTCCTTGATCATTGGTTAGGCTCATATGTTGTGCACATAAGTCCTTTGGTTGATCTCTCTTTTGTCCCCTCCCTCCCTTTGAGGTCCAACAGTCTGACCCATGGCTCCTTATCTCTGTCTGTTCTTGTCCATCAGTCTATGTTGTTTACCATTTCCCCTAGATGAGTGAGATCATGTCCTACTGGAAATATACTTATTAAGAATCAAAAATGAGACAAGCAACAAGCTGAAAGGCATATGCATCAGTCTGTAGTGAGCTTCTTTCTGGGCCACCAGTTCTTTTGAGACCCAATTTCAATGTCAAACAGTTCCTTATGTGTACATGCCAGCAATGATATTTCAGTTCTGGATGGTGGGCAAATGGTGGTAATGGGTTTATCTTTATTTTTCAAAGATTCCTATGTAGAGGTGAGGTGAGGCAGGGGTTTCCCAGTTTTGTGGTTCTAGGGTTCTCTCTCCTGTAAGTTACTGAATAATATTAAATAATAGTTTTCTGTGTACTCTTTGGTACTTTCTGACTTTATTTGGTCATGCTCTATTCAGTGTCTGGACCTTCTCACCTTTACCCCCAGCTTCCTTCCCTTGTCCATGTGGATTCCATCCTGTTTCCCCTGGTGCAGGGTGGGGGGAGGCCTATGTGCGCTCAGAGCTACTGCTGAGAACCCTGAAGACCCAGGTTGCCCTCGCACCCCCATGCCTTCCTGCAGCTCCTTTTCCCAGGATACAGTAACTTACTGCTAGACAGCCCTCTCCCAATTGTGACTGTGGCTTTTGGATCTACTGGTGAGCTTGCCACCACTACTGTGGACTCCTCCTTTGGGGCTCAGTACACGTTGCCAAATTCTAGATTCTTTGGTTCTTGCAAACATCTCATTTCTCCCTTACTTTTTCTCTGCTTGCTCCTCAAAGCTCATTCCCATATGATCTTGTTCTATTGATGGTTTTAGTCAGATTATAGGATTCACAGGGACAGTCCAGTACCTAATTTTAGTGAAGATGGGGTCACTGTGTTTGTTTTTCTTTTGTTATAGGATAGCTCCATGGGGACTTAGGAGACTAAAAAAAGACCTACTGCTGCTGTCATTCTGTCTCCTATAACTGATTTTTAAAATGATTTTATTTTTCTGTTTATATTATAATGCCCAGGACAGGACAGACTATTATGCTTTAGTAACTAAATATATACATTTATTTCTTGTTCATGTCAGTCCAATGAAGTCAGCAGGTTCTCCTCTCTAAATGCCTCACGGGGTCCCGGTTGCTTCCATTTTGCTGTGTTTTTACAGCCAAGCAGGAAGCTGGGAGACTGATCAGTCATAATCATGGATTGTGATGGCAGTGAGTTTTACTGCTGAATCTGAAGCCACACATCACTTGTCCCCACAGCTCACTGGTAAGAAGGAAGTCACATGGCCCCAAACTAACTGCGCCTGAAAACAGAGGACACTGAGAGTCTTCGCCACCACTCTGCACAGGCGCTCACCCTGGGAGAGAAGGTAGACGCTGTCTGTCCCTTCACATATCTGTAAAGGACTTTTGACGTAATCTGATCAAGCAACATGGCACCAGCATTTTAAAATATAAGTTTTAATTCCATTAGTATAGTTTTTTAAATGTTTAAAAATAAATTGTGAATCAAATTGTTTTCAAGTCTATAAAACACCATGTTTCCACAGTCTTCAATTGCTGACAAATTTGGGGGAGAAAAAGGCAGCATATAATTAAATAAAAATTAAAATGTCTCTAATTATAAAGGTTCCAGTTAAGTATACCTTTTGGAATTATAAAGAATTAAACTATACCACTATGATAGAAAGCAAGAAAATGGTCGTTTGCCATCATTTACAAACATAAATATGTTCACAAACTTGCTAAATATTCAATATATAAACCAGGAGAAATCTCACCTTAAGACAATGATGGTTTTTATTCCCTTTAGTTTACCATTTGACACATAACATACTCACTGAAAAAATTAACACAATATTTAAATAACAATTAAGTTCATGAAAATTCACAAAATATAACCCATTTATACTCTGACTTATAATCACATCTTAAAATATTTCAACAACTTTTCTGGCCTGATCAGACCATTAAAAAATATTTACACCCTATTTTAATTTTAGGATATAAAACTGTAGCAATTTACTAAAGTTTCCATTATAAAAATTAATATGGCAATTCTCAAAATATTAAAAACAACCATGCTATGAAGGCAGTACCTACATCATAACAACTTAGTTCTTTTAGAACACATCTTCAAAGGCACATTTCAATTAGTAGTATTTATCTAAAGAGAGTAGCTTGAGCTTTAAGCTTCCAGTTTCCCGTCACCTCACCCTTTCAATGATGAAGGGCGGGGGGAGGTAGGAGAACACTTCTACTTGGACAGCAGTTCCCTCACTCATCATGGCCATGACCACAAACCACCCAGTTTTTCCCAAGAAGTGGTGTTATTGTTTGGAGCCTGAAGAAGAGAATGAAACTTCTGCTTCTTTGGAATTACATCTTCACACTGGGTTCATCTTAATTGAAATCACTTGGTGAGCTATAAGTGCGACAAATTCCCAGGATGTCATAGACATATAGATATGTAAAATCAAACAGAAATGATTTTGTGATTACCTGTTATGGTCCACTTTAATTAGGGCTGATATTCTAAATGTGACTGTAATTATGACATTGGGATTTTCAAGTCCCTTAAAACACTACTGTTATTTAAAAAAAATATTTTTTTTATTGATTTCAGAGAGGCAGGGAGAGGAAGAAAGAGATAGAAACATCAATGGTGAGAAAGAATCACTGATCGGCTGCCTCCTGCATGCCCTCCACTGGGGATTGAGCCTGTAATCCGGGGCATGTGCCCTGACCAGGAATCGAACCTTGTCCACCTGGTTCATAGGTCAGTGTTCAATTGCTAAGCCACATACACTGGGCACACTACTATCATTTTTTAATAGTTTGTGTCCTAGGACTCTAAAATACAATCCGATACACAATTTGCGGGATGATTTAATTTTCAGTGAAGTTTAATACTAACTAAAGTACTAATTAAACAAGATTAATATTTTGGGGTAGTACTAATTTATTATGTAATTGATCTGATGCAAAGAAAAAGAAATTTTAATGCTACTTTGGAATTTCAAAAACATTATGAAATACTATAATTTTATAAATTTCCCTCAAGTCTCAGTTGAGTGTTTCCATTTTTTAAAGGTGATATCTTTTTTTTTTTAAATGTACCACTTTTTAATTTTTTTTTAATATGGTACAGCCACTTTATTTTTATTTATTTTAATTCCTCACTTGAAGATATTTTTCTATTGATTTTTAGAGAGAGTGGCAGAGAGAGGAAAAGACAGAGAAATAAGGATGTGAGAGAAACACATCGATTGGTTGCCTCCTGCACATACCCCTACAAGGGCCCAGGCTTGGGAGGAGCCTGCAATTGAGGTATGTGCCCTTAACCTGAATAGAACATAGGACTCTTCAGTCCACAGGCCGATGCTCTATCCTCTGAGCCAAATGGGCTAGGGCTAAAGGTGATATCTTTAGAACTTTTTCTCATTATAGTAAAATAATTGAGCAAAAATATTCTTAAGTACAAAAAAGAAAATGGTCATCTATTACTTAACCAAGATATACTTTTCTGGTCCCTCACATTGGTCACTTTAGGGGCACTTATTCAAGTTCTAAAATAGCAGCTTTTTAATTAAGGCAGCATTGTTTTATTCTTACCTGTTTTTCTATTAACTAATTGATTAGAGTTCAGAAGAGCAGTTTTACACTCAAAGGCCCTTTTAAAGTAAGAAGAGTTCACGAGAATATTCTTCGCTATGTTTAGAAAGTATATAAAAAGTTATTTTATTCAAAGTCAACAAGTACCTTATTTTTCTATTTGGAATTCTAAAGTAATTACAGTCATTTCAGAATGTGTAAACCATGAAACTACCTTTTAAACTAACATCAACAACAAAGTACAAGTTTTCCTACAAAAAAACTACACAGGAGATACAGCACTTCTTCCCTGAAGTAAAAATTTAATATTTGGACAGAAAACTGTAAACTTTTGATTACATTCAAAACATAACCTTTTAAAGACTTGTATTACTTGAGGCTTTGGCAACTGAAGCATTTTAACAGCACAATGATGCCAACACAGTTTGTTCCCTTATATCTGCTACCAGGAGGTAAAAAAAGGCTTCCTGCAGTGGAAAGTCTGGGTGAAGGAAGAGTTGAGATGGGAAATCCGACCCTTCGCTCTCCCTGGACTGTGCTCCACAAGCACACAAGGCATCTGTACCAGCTGGACAGGACTCTTCCCATCCCTCAAAGCCTGGGTCAGATTTAAGATCTGTGAAAAGAAGAGATATTTCCACCAGTTCAAACAAGGTAAAAACCCTTCAGTTTATTGACATTAGTTTAACCATTTATTCATAATTACAATTTTTATTTCATCTGTTTATGCTCAATAGATTGTGAGGATAACTGCCACAAATATATTTTGTACATAAACACATACATATAAGCACAAGTGCACAAATTTGAAATTAAATAACTTTTGCCAACTGGTACCTTTAAAATATTATAGAATGCACCTGTGTCCAAGAGAAATGAAATCAGAGACTGAATAAACACATTCTTGGCATAGAACCTAAACAAATATTGGCCTAAATAGTCCAGTTTTAAAACTAAATACTTGCCTTACCCATTAATTCAATAAATATATTTATTGCAAGCAAACTACATGGGAGATTCAATTCTAGTGTTGGGATACAACATTAAAAAAGCAAACCAAACCTCTGCCTTCACAGACCTTGCATTTTAGCAGAAGGAATCGATAAACATTATGAGTAAGTAAATTATACTATGTACCAGAAGACAAAAGTGCCATGAAAAAGCAAGATGGATGGCAAGTAGGCAAGTGGGTTACAGAATTTGAGAAGACAGCCATTTAAAATAAAGATTTCAGAGCTAACTCTTAAGTAGGGAACATAAACTAGGAAAAGGAAGAAGTTTACACGTGTTTTCAAGCAAACAATAGGAGCATGGGAAAAGAAGTGCTTTCTCTCTTTTATTTTTATTTTTTGTTTGTTAATCCCAAGGATATTCTTCTATTGATGTTTAGGGAGAGTGGAAGAGAAAGGGAAAGGTGGAGAAATACATCGATGTGTGAGAAACACATCGACTGGTTGCCTCTTGCATGCGACCTGACCCGGGCACAGGCCAGGGAGGAGCCTGAAACCAAACCATGCATCCTTGACTGGAATTGAACCCTGGCTCCTTTGGTCCATAGGCCAACGCTCTATCCACTGAGCTTTCTCTTGAAAAGTTCACGTTTTGTGGAAAGTACACTAGTACTGGGAGCAGGGTTGAAATAAATAAATAACTTTTCAAGTTCCTGATAGTCTTGAGAGAAACATTATTTTGCTGTTCCGCTTTTTCCCCCTCATATTTTCTGAGGTCTAGTGTTCCATATTGACACAGGGAAAAAGGGAAAAATAAACCTAATTTTGCCCTACTGCTATTTAATGTAAAATTCAAAACATAGTTTATCTTTTACTTTCATAAACATTATTAGCCCAGATTTTAAAAGAAATTTCTTCATACTAGTTTTGAGTTCCATTCCACATCTTTATGTGAAGAATTAGAGCATGTCACTGATTATGCGTATAAAACTAAAGAGTTAGTATAAATGAGGGCAAAAGACTTGGTTGTACAAAGCACAAATCATAAAGTTAATTAGCAAAACTGAAGAGAAGAGGGATTTAGGGATAATTACAAATGATAGAAATAACACAAGTAATTCGACTCAATTAAGGAAAGAGTTAAATGATGATTCTGTTGTTTGGAACATAGGTCAGTGTTATTTGTTTTTGTTTGTTAAGTCTGTTTCATTAAGCACTGATTTATTTTAGAATATAAAAAATACTACCTGATTTTTCACATCAGATTTTTAAAAATTCAGTTAAAACTACAGAGCTACATAATGATGTACATGGTCAGGTACCCTACTCTTTCTCGTTTCAGAGAAGTCAAAATCAAATAAAAAAATAATAAAATTAACACATATAAAGACATTATTTTATTTTTTATTTCCCCTTAAAAGGAAAAGGAAGAGAGAGATAGAAACATGTGCCCTGGCCAAGAATCAAACCTCGACCTCCTGGTTCATAGGTCAACTGAAGCTCAACCACTGAACCACACCGGTCAGGCTCTTGCCTCATATTTTGATCCTATGATTTTTCTATTGTATTATACACATCTGTTTAATACTAGAATTTCTTTCTGAATGTGATAGGATATGAATAAATAAAGCTAAAATATCATATAGAGACTGGTATATCTTTGTAATAGACCACATTCAGTAATGGAATATCTCCACATCTTTTCAGATAAGTATTTTAAAATTTAAATTTCTCATGTACCAATTTTAATCAATACTTAAAGCTTACAAAATTATTTTCAGCTTTTATTTTTTAAAATTATTCCTGATAAAGATATATATATTTAAGACTATGATAATTCCAGGAGATGGAGCATACTGATAAATTAATTTGACTGATAAAAGGTCAAAATATTAATTATTAATGCTTGAAAGGAGAGGGAGCAGGATACATAAATTAGTTGCCTCTGGTAAGTACACCAACTTAAACCAGCAACTTGGGCATGCACCCTCATCAGGAATCAAACGGGCTCAACCAACTGGTGAATAAATGATTATCTAATTTAATTATATTTATTTCTTTATTTTTACTTTTTAAAATACATTTTTGTTGATCTCAGAGAGGAAGGGAGAGAGAGAGATAGAACATTAATGATGAGAGAGAATCATCATCAGCTGCTTCCTGCACGCCCTCTACTGGGGATCGAGTCCGCAATGTAGGCAAACCTGAGACCCTTCAATCAACAGGCCCAACGCTCTAACCACTGAGCCAAACCAACTAGGACTAATTATATTTATTTGTTAAAGTTATATATAACAGTCGGTGCAAAATCTAGACCCATCATTTTATTACCTCAGGGATGCAGCAAACAGCCACCTTAAATGTACATTTTAGGAAGAAAAAATTAACAAGTCACCAAAAGACAGTGTTAACAATATAATTTATTTTCATTTCAAGTCTTCCTTTTGGAATCTAAATACTACTAAGAGAGCAGAAGACCAATTGTCATCTGTCAGTCAGCCCAGCCTGTAGGTCCACAGCAGTGGACTTAATATCTTGTATCGCTACTTAGAGAAGGTGAGAAGGGGTGAGAGGACTGAGTTACAATTAGTACTTTTTTTTTTTTTTTTTGTATTTTTATCAGATGCATTTTAATTTTCACCACATAAAATATGCTAAATACTTAAACTCACTTTGAGAATTACTATTTTTCAGTAAAATAGATAACATTTGTAAGCAAAAAAAAAAAATTACTATTAGACACAGAAGGATAAAATTGGGAATCTTAATTTCTATCATTGAATTCAGTCACCTATGACACCTCATCCTGCTGATAAAAGGTCATTTAAATTTGTCTTTTAAAGCTAGTTGGCAGAGACTTACTTAAAAGTCTCTTTCAAGTAAATATCCAGTCCATTCAAAGTGCACCTTCCTGTGAGGTCCTGTCTCCCTCTTCCCCTCCTCCTGTGACGATGGAGTGGCGCTCGGCGCTTCATGCCAGGAGGCAGGCCTCGACTTATCTAACCTGCAGTGGCCGTCCAGCAAGCCTGCCTCTTCTCGGGGCTGATCTTTCCATTACATGCTTCCAGCTAACTCCCCATTTAGCTGCAAGATTTCTTGTGATTTTTCCTTCATAATGTTTACATTTTTATTTATTTTTTTTAAGTTGTTTGATTTCTGTTTTATTTTTTATTATTATTATTATTATTATTTTAAATATGCCCCAATCAGTGCTCAACCTTGGTGACATGGTTATTTACTGATTGCTCTTGCAAAGGCCAAACACATTCTATTATTACAAGACAAATAATCAAAAAGCAACAGAAGCAAGTGGAATTGGGAGGGAAAACATAACAATCAGGAAAATACTTGTAGTCACCAAAATAAAGACAAAGAAGTCACAGTAGGAGGGAAAATGGGTAACTAACAAAATACAACAAAGTCAATGATATCTAATTTATAAGACGATAAAGGAAAGATACTATTGAAATCAACTTCATTTCTAATCATCTTATCTATTTTGGTTCAGTATAAAACAGTATTTGGGTCACAATGGAGAAAAAAATTGATTATTATTTCAAAGAGGAATTCTTTTCTTAGCAAGTGCGTAAAAAAAAGTGACCTGCCTCAGGAACAACAGGGGGGTGGAGGCATACATGGGGAGGGGTTTGGAGTGGAAATGGAGGGATGAGGACAATTATGTGAAACCATAATCAATAATAAAAAAAAAAAAAGTGACCTACCTGGCCCCTCATCACAGACATCTGACTTTCAAAAGTGGCTTGGTTAAATCTTTTATCAGTCTATCACAGAAAGGAAAAAAAAAAATTATTATAATTCTAAAATTCAAGATCTTTGAATCAAATATTTAAAAACAAATGAACTCTTTCAACTTGGCCTCTAAGGTCATTAGAAAGTTTTTACCTGAGGTATTTTTGTATACCCCTAGAATGATAAGAATAGTTTATTTATGCTCCAACTTGTTCCAGAAATAATTTAAGATGACACCCTAGCCAATGAATTTAGGTTTTTTAGAAAGAAGTAAATTATTACAGGTTACCAACATTTGTAATAATTCTTAGTAATTACTTAAATATTCAACTTTTGAAGAAAACAACTTCTCAAGTTTTAAGATTCACTTCAGAGAATACTCACAGTAAGTGTAACTTCAAAATCCTGCAGATTAAGAATAAAACTGCTAATTTCTTTGTTATGTCAAGTTCTACTGCAAGAAGTGATACCAAAAAATAGTAAACTGCAAATTAACTGTCGAGAAAACCTCTTCTATTTTAAGATTTCATTTTCTATAATAATTAAAACTAAAAAATTATTTACCTTAAAAAGTTCATAGAGATCTTCACATAAATCTTGCACAAAATTCATGTCAGAAATATTTGGTAGAATCAAGTTTCTTGTTTCTTCAGAAAAAGGAACTTTTGCTTGAGGAAGCCACGCCCAATGAAATGGATCTAACAGAAAAAAGGAGGAAAGGGTATATTTTGACCCACATTTCTCATTGTTCTTTTGTGTGTGTGTGTTTTTTTTTTTGTTTTTGTTTTTAATTTTGTATATCCTGGTTCTTTTGCTACAATAACCAGGTTCTCAAAAACAAACAAACAAAAAACAGACAGGAGAGAGACGTTATCAGAGGACAATTATCCTTTGCTATCTAGAGTACTCAGATTCCAAGTTTGGATTTTCAATTCAGACATCAAAACACAAGATTTTACCTGAAGTAGTTAGGTTTCTGGGTTTTAAAGAGTAAGAGTTTTGTCTATTTCAAACAGCCGTATATACAATAGATACATATATCTGAGTCTCTGGTTCCTAAGTTTGGAAATTAAGAGATAGCTATAAGCTGTTTAGAGCCCTAGATCAAAAACTCATTGGCTGAGATCTCCCTGCCCTTCCAGCCACAAATCATCAGGATTTGGCCACACACACACACACACACACACACCACATGATCTAAAATTTTAAATCATTAGGAGGTAAATAGGTGAGTGGCTTTCAGGGATAAAAGACCCACCATTCCCAGTTAACTGTAGTTCTATTCCAAGAGGACCATTATCTCCATAGAGCCAGGACTAAAAGATTTGTAAAGTAGGAAGAGTGCATATTCAGTTTCCTGTGTATCTTCCTGGGAAATTGAAGTTATATCCATTTTCCTTTTTATCTTTCCCTAATCAGTTACATAAAAAGAAAAACCTTTATTCTAACTCCTGACTCTACTTCCAATCCCTAACCATAATTTTACTGTCACTCTCTCCCCTATGACCACCAGTCATTGCATTGGAGTCTCCAAAGGTCCATTTGCAGTCCTCACCTATTTAATGTTTTTGTATCACAGTACACCATTTTCTATCATCTCCTTATCTCCTAATGTGCCTTTGGAGATATCACTCTCAAAGTTTACCTTCTGTCTTTTAAGCCACTTCTTCAATGTCACCACTCCCTCAGATTCTGTCCTTACTCCTTTTTTTCTCATTCATTTACTAAACATTCATAAAACACTGAGTACTTATGTACTTTGAATTATCCTAGTGATGGTTTGTTCACCATGATTTCCCTGGGTAATAGCAAACAACGCCATGGCTCCCACTACCAAGGTGACAGTTTAAAAACTATATCCTCAATACTATTTCCTCTCAAGTTCAAAGATCATCAATCCCCAACTGTGTGTTTGATAAAATTTCAACATGTATTGTAGGCAACTTCAACTTAACATTTTTAAAGTGCAATATGTATTCAAATTCCAAATCATTAGAGGAAAAATAAATGAAACAAAGACATCACAAGTCAGTTCAATAAAAGTAAGAAAAAAGGAGAAATAATTGGGATTTAAGGTTAAAAAAAAGATGACAGTTAAAGTTCAAAATATCAATAGTTTATTGAGATAAACTACAGAATTAAGTGTACCTATTATAAGAATCCCAGGCTGGGTTAAAAAATAATCTGGCTAAGTGATGTTTATGAGTCATATACTTAAAACAAAATGATGGAAGTTAAAAATAGAAGTATAGAATAAGACCAGGTAAATGCTAATAAAAAGAAATAAAGTATACCACTGTTGTAATAGACAAAAAAAAAAAAAAAAAAAAAAAAAATTAAGAGGAATAAAGCAGGATATATTATATTTCACACTGATAAAAAAACAAACCACAGGCAAAATAAAATGCTGGGCCATTAGGAATGTGAAATACAACGCAAAACCTGTATAAAAATGTAAGAAATTGAAAAAATTGCAATCACAATGAACTTTAACTTTCTCTCCAAAATTAACATATCAAATAGTAAAAAAATAAGTAAAGAGTATTTTGACTAATAACTAAAAAGCTTTAATGTGCCCAAACACATTCTTTTCAAATACAGTCCTTCAAATTGGTCATATATTAGATTATTTGTTAATAATAGAAATTATTAACAAATGTCAAAAAGCAAATTTCACACAGACACATTCACAGATCAAAAAGTAAAAAAAACTTGAAAATAACAATGGACAGTTCTAAAAAAATCAACTAATCTAGAAATTTTAAAATCAAACAAAATACTTCCTAAATCACTCCTGTCAAAAAGAAAATCTAGCTGGTTTGGCTCCGTGGATAAAGCATCGGCCTGAGGTATGAAGGGTCCTGGGTTCAATTCCAGTCAAGGGCACATGCCTGGATTGTGTGCTCAATCCCGAGTGTGGGAAGTGAAGAAGGCAGCCAATCACTGATTCTCATCATTGATGTTTCTCTCTCTCCCTCTCCTTCCTCTCTCTAAATATATATATATATATATATATATATATATATATATATATATATATGAAAATCTGAAAGTATGAATCTATAAGGCAGAATAATAGAGCAGCATGCCCAATCTATGACTTAGTCAAAATGGTATCTAGAGGAAAACACATAAGAAAGCAATATAGGATAAAGGCAGAAGAAAATAATAATGATGAAAAACATAAATTATCAACAAAAAAGGAAAAGCAAATAAACTGAAAATCTGATCAGTGTTTTATTATAGGTAAATCTTTGGTAACTTTAATGAAAAAAAAAAGGCTACTATTGAACAGTAGGAATTTAAGAGACATAGTCATAGATACAGAGATTACTTTTAAAATTTATTACACATATTTTAAACATATACGAAAATAGAAAGAAAAAAAAAAAAACTAGTACTATGAGCTCCCATATTCTAAATAATCTCATTCAATTTTTCCAAATTTTTATAAAATTGGTTTCATCTATCCTCAGGTATTTTAAGGCAAATTCCAGACAACAATTTACCCTTAAATACTTAATAAACACAGAAGAAATTTTCTTATTTATAAAATAATTATATAAAAAACTTCATACCCATAAATCTACAACTCAAGATATGGACAATTTTAAGAAAAATAAAAATGTCTAAAACTGGCTTGAGGAGACACAGAAACCAGACTTTTGAGACATAGAAACCAAACCAGTAGAGACTGGTGAGATAGTTAAAGCACCAATCACTTTTAAAAAAAGGGGAAGAGGGCTAAGACTTAAATTGTTTTATCAATGAATGTTCCCCAAAACATTAAAATAAAGTTCTACCAAAAATATTAAACAGATAATTACCATGTTATTATTATTTTTTAAATATATTTTATTGATTTTGTTCAGAGAGGAAGGGAGAGAGATAGATAGAAACATCAATGAGAGAGAGTCATCGATCAGCTGCCTCTTGCACACCCCCTACTGGGGATGTGTCCGCAACCAAGGTACATGCCCTTGACCGGAATCGAACCCGGGACCCTTCAGTCCCCAAGCCGACGCTCTATCCATTGAGCCAAACCGGTCTCGGCACCATGTTATTTATATATAATATGTATATGTATATATTTAAATTCGGAAAACTATCAAAGTTACTTTACAAGGCTAACACAAGCCAAAAAAAAATCAAAAGTAGACACAGTTATCCAAAGATAAGCTAACATACATGGTAAGTCCCATGTAGCACACATCTCTGCATCTAGTGCCTAAAATGAATGGTTTTTATTCTGCCAGTTTAATGGCCATAAATTTTGTTCCCTTCCTTTTCTGATAAAAGGGTAATTAGAGAACCTACAGAAGGTTCTAAATACTCACATGCTCTCCATTCATCAGGATGTTTAAAAGGAAATGCTAGACCATTATCAATTGCAGCTACTTTAATGAGCGATTCTTTCTCATCAACACATTTTGCTTCCTAAAAAAAAAAAAAAAGGTCTGTTGATAAAAAAAAGTATATAAACATTTTCAACAGATAAAGTATTTATAGTAATTACTGAGGTTTAAATACACTTTATCTGAAGAGTCTATATAAAAAATATGTCCCCAGAAAGTTCAATTTCACCATTAAAAGGCAGAGGCTGTCTTAAAAATCAGTAAGAATTTCAAATAACTAGTAAAAAAATTTTTATATTATAAATTTAGGTGGTAATGGTTTGTTTTTTCCCCTCTTTAGGAAAGAGGGCTTGGAATTAAGACATAAAGTATTATTCTGGCCCCAGCTGGTTTGACTCAGTGGATAGAGGATTGGCCTGTGGACTGAAAGTTCCTGGGTTCAATTCTGGTCAAGAGCACATGCTAAAGATGCAGGCTCCATCTCCAGTAGGGGACATGGAGGAGGCAGCAGATCAATGATTCTCTCTCATAATTGATTTTTCTATCTCTCACTCTCTTCCTTCCTCTCTGAAATCAATAAAAATATATTTTTAAAAAAGATGTATTTTTCTGAATAATTAATGCTCAATGCATTGCTTAAGTGTATGAAAGTTACAAAATAAGACATTTTAAGTCTTTTTTTAAAAATATATTTTATTGAATTTTCACAGAGAGGAAGAGAGATGGATAGAGAGTTAGAAACATTGATGAGAGAGAATCATCGATCAGCTGCCTCTTGCACACCCCCTACTGGGGATGTGCCACAACCAAGGTACATGTCCTTGCCCGGAATCGAACCTGGGACCTTTCAGTCCGCAGGCCGACGCTCTATCCACTGAGCCAAACCGGTCCCGGCCAAAATAAGACATTTTAAACAACTCAATAAGTTACCTTATTAAAATCTAGCCTTTTCTTAGGGGCCCATAGAAATAATTCGTTTAAAATACAAAATGTTTCTAAACAGAACTGCCCAAAGATGTTCTACTGGACCTTATTATAGCTAATAAGAAGGAACCTCAAGAAACTCTTGATTAGACCTAGGCCATTCCTAACTTCTATATTCTTCTATAGCAGAAACAAAGACCTCAGGAGCAAGAAGGTTTATGAGTTAAAGAGTATTTCCTATTATTTAAAGACAGACAGTTGCCATTATCAAGTAGCCTAGGCAAAATAATAAAAGGTAAACTCGATAATTTTAAAATTAAAAGTAAATGAGTGAGAAAAATGCTGTGGTACATTAACACAATGAGTTACTTCCTGGCTGTGAAAAGGAAGGACATCTTACCTTTTGCAAGAGCAGGGATGGACCTGGAGAGTATTATGCTAAGTGAAATAAGCCAGTCACCATATGATTTTACTTATATGTGGAATATGAACAAAATAAAATAACAAAAAGAAACCAACTCATAGATAGAGAACAAACTAACAGCTATCAAGAGAGGAGGAGGTTGGGGAACTGGGTATAAAAGGTGAAGGGATTAAGCAAACAAATAAACAAAAAAACAAAACAAAATCCAAACAAACAAAAAGAATAACTTCATGGACACAGACAACAGTATGGTGATTACCAGAGGAAAAAGGAGTTAGCAGTAGGTAAAAAGGGTAAAGGGAGAATAAATGGTGATGAAAGGATTCTTGAAATGAGGTGGTAAACACACAATACAATATACAGATGATTATAGAATTGTACACCCGAAACCTATATAATTTTATTAACTAACTGGAGGCCCAATGCATGAAATTCATGCATGGGGTGGTGGTGGTGGTGGTGGTGTCCCTCAGCCCAGCCTGCACCCTCTACAATCTGGGATCCCTCTCACAATCCAGGACTGCTGGCTCCTAACTGCTCACCTGCCTGCCTTCCTGATTGCCCCGAACTGCTTTGGCCTGCCAACCTGATCACTCACTAACCACTTCCCTGCCAGCCTGATTGCCCTTAACTGCCCTCCCCTACAGGCCTGATCACCCCTAACTGCCCTCCCCTACAGGCTTGATTGCCCCCAACTGCCCTCCATTGCAGGCCTGATCCTTCCCAACTGCCCTCCCCTGCTGGCCTGATCACCCACAACTGACCTCCATTACAGGCTTGATTGCCCCCAACTGCCCTCCCCTGCCGGCCATCTTGTGTCCACATGGGGACAGCCATCTTTGACCACATTGGGGCAGCCATCTTGTGTGTTGGAGTAATGGTCAATTTGCATATTACTCTTTTATTAGATAGGGTGTCACCCCAATAAATTAAACAAATTTAAATTTAAAAGTATTAGAGTAAAGGTTTGTGTGATAGATATATGTCAGGTTTATTTCTTTTAGTTTATATCAATTATCTCAATGAAAATGCACAAAATACTTAAAAGCAAAATAATGAAGTCTTCAGTAAAATCTAATTGCTCAAGATATACCAAAATAAATATGTATATTTAAATCTGTACTTTAAACCCATTTCTGCTATAACTGGCATTTAATTTTATTTCTATCATTTTTTTCTGCTTACAACTCTATTGAGGTATAATTCAGCCATAATATAAACTTCACATATTAAGTGTACAATTTGATAAGCACTAATAGAGGTTAAACCTTTACCCAAAAGTTCCTTGTGTCCCTTTGCAGTCCCTCCCTCCACCTGACCCCCACGCAATTGCAGTCTGCTTTCTGCCACAGGAATTAGTTTGTACTCTTTGGAGTTTTATAAACTGGAATCAGAATGTTATCTTTGTGTGCAGCTTCTTTCACTGATGCTTTCATTCAGCAGGATTTTGAGATTCATCCACATTACGCCTAAGTGAGTTTGTTCTTTTTATTGCTTAGTACTATGACTATGAAGTTTAAATTTCTTTGATAAACAATGAAAAATATAGAAACTTTCTAGAGTGATGCCATAGCTTTTAGTGATGAGATCACAGATTATAAGTATTGGAGGAATAATTTTTTTTAACTAGTTAGAACTTTCTAAAATGTTTAGATTGCTTTAAACCAGTAAAACTATTTTGAAAATATCTTTTATCCAAATATTTAAAATTATGTAAATATTTAAAATTTTTGTCAAAGTCAACAAAAAATGATCTAAATTCTATCCTATTGGTAGTATTATGGATCTATGCAGTCCATTATGTGTACACTAAACCCAGCTTCATATATAAGTAGTACATTTTTTTAAGTACAATGTATATGATGCACAGGTAAAGCACACATATTTCATATTATAGTACTATATGTCCTAATGCTGATTCATAAGACTCAGAGAAAGAATTGAATTAGTAATATATAAACATGACCCAAAATACCAGAAGCTTTTATTACATAAAAGCAAACTAAAACTGGTCCTACAAAAATTTCTCAAACTCTATAAAGAGTATGGTACCAATTTGGAATCATTCTATTCTAATGCAACACAAAAAATAAAGTTGTAATGAGATGTTTAAAAAGAATTGAATTAAAAAATACTAGTATAAAGAAGGGAAAAAAAGAAAAAAGATGAAGAAAAAAAAAACACACACACACACAGAAAAAAGAGATAAAAACCAAGGATCTGAGTGAAGGAAATGAGAAAATTATGAAGAATAGCTTCAAGGAATCTTTTGCAGAAATTGTGTGTGTATGTACACATATATAGATATGTATTCTTTTTAAATTTCCTTACCTTAATTTCCTTTCCATCTTTCTGCTTTTCATATTTGATTAACCAATTATCATTTCCCCTGTCTTTCAAAATAGCAAAACAAAATAAAACAAAAATCTGTTACTTTTGTTTTTCTATGGATATCATAACTTAATATCAAAGGGGAAAATATAGTCACTTCTTGATTTTTCAACTGTCATTGGTTATCTGACATATATTTACACATTAAAGCTACAATTTAACACAACAAAAATGTTACAAATTAAAAAATGTTAGCTGACATTTACCTGTGCCAGACATTTTGCTATGCTTAACATATCTATACACTGAGTGGCCAGATTATTATACGTTGAGAGATCATAATAATCTGGCCATTCAGTGTATATTTTATTGACTGAGAGGAAGTGAGTGAGAGAGATAGAAACATCAATGATGAGAGAGAATCGATTGGCTGCCTCCTGCACACCCCCTATTGGGGATTAAGCCTTAAATCTAGGCATGTGCCCTGACAAGGAAATGACTATGACCTCTTGATTCATACACTCAACCACTGAACCACACGTGCTGGGCAACATATATTCATTCACTTAATTCTCATAACAACTCTATGAGGTAGATATAATGATGATCAAAGCTATTAAATCAAGGTTATTAAAATCGGGGATAAATTTTCTTTGCCTTAGAAAGAAAAAGCATCTAACCCTATTACCAAAAGTATGGTAACACTCTCACCTAATGTCATACAGGAGTAGTCTAGACTCTACACTAATTTTCACTTTAACCTAAAACCATATTAATTAAGATTTTAAATCTAGAAAAGTATATATTATTTGTTGAGAAACCAATATAAATGAGCGATTATTTGAACCTGTGGTTCCCAAACTTCAAAGTGCAGCAGAATTACCTGGAGGACTTGTTAAAACCAAAACTTCTGGCCCCCACATGCAGATTCTGTGCCAGGTCTAGGGTGGGCTACTAGAAGATGTAACAAGTCCTCACATAACCCTGACCTTGATAGGCCAAGAACCACATTTGGAAACCACTATGCTACGTTACCTACATCACTGTTCCCTTCCAGTGCATAAAAAGTTAAGAGTTTAATGTATTTATAGGCTATACTAAGTTATCTATAGTCAACATGAGTATCTAAAATAATTTATATAATCAAGTTTTAATTATTCATATGATGCAGACATCATTTCTAACTGGCTTGGTCCTGCCTGCCAAGAAACACAACACTATGGTTAGGAACTGATCATGATCACCAAGACAGGAGCCTGCTATGAATCAGTATCTCCAATTCTGCCAAACAGATCAGGAACCACTACATCTCTCTTTCCTAAGGCAGGTAAAGAAAAAGTGGTCTCAAGACTTCTGCATCAAAACCTTATGTCTTTGATTTGGATGACAGGAATTGAATATAGTTGGAAAGTTAACAAGATTTGAGTGAACAAACGAATGAACTTTAATACCTGTATTTCTGATGATGTAATCCAAAACCACTAATCTCTCAAATTGCGACTGGAATTGTTTTCTAGTATTCTCAGGCAAAGGATCAGCTTCAAATTTCCTAAGCCAAAATTCAGCTTCCTTGTAACCGTCAACAAATAACTGAAAGGAACCAATCTATAATTTTAAGAACTACAGTTAGAAAAGAAAGCACAAGAGCAAAGAAATTATTTTTTACATTTCTCAGCAGTATGATAAAATACACAAGAAAAATAGAAGGTTTAACACTAATTTAGATAAGCCATATTTATCAAGAATACTATTTTTACACACTAATGTTAAATAATCACATAAACATATAGCTAATAAAAAATGTTTAAGGCATAGCAGCTATTTTAGGATAAAAGCATTTCTACCACTAAATTATTGTTGTTACTATTAAAGGAAATACAAATTTAAATAGTACACAACAGCCCAGCCTGTGTGTGGCTTAGTGGTTGAGCATCCACCCATGTACCAGGAGGTCACTGGCTCGATCCCCAGTCAGGGAACATGTCCAGTGGGAGCATGTGGAAGGCAGCCAATTGGTGTTTCTCAAACATTGATGCTTCTCTCTTTCTCTCTCTCTCTCTCTCTTCCTTTCCCTTCCTATCTCAGAAATCAATAAAATAATATTTAATAAATAAACAGCACACAACACACAGATAAGGGGTAACCTAGTTGGCCTCATAAAAACAAACAAATCACCACAAAGAAAATGTATTTTTTACCCTTTCTTAACAATTTATGTTCTTCTTGTTGGCATAAACTTTTAATGATTTCCTAAAGGTTTTCTCTAAAGCACTGATAATTAAGTCCTAGTAGTCATAAATATAATATGTAAATAATATTCTATTTTAGTCACACTTATTTCAGCATATCCAAGGAGTAGCAGGTCTTGTAAAAATTTTTCAACTCCTTGCTTACTTTGAGTAAATTTTAAAAATGAGTTAGACTGACTATGAATTTCTATTCAAATACTTTTAACTAGATAAATGTACAGCTGTAACAACAAAACTGCAGGTCAAACAACAACAACAACAACAACAAACCTTAGATCTTTTTCTAATATACCTTTCCCATTAACCCTTCCCATCCTTAGCTAGCTGCTAATCATCCCTTAAATTTATTTAAAAGTGGTAAGAAAAAAACAAAAGCTGACATGTAGTGAGTAAACATAGTTACTACTATTTACTTTTGTATGTGCGACTAGAACTATATCAAGTACTTGACAGAAATTTCTTCATTTTATCCTCACAACCCTAAGAAGTAGGTTCGATCATTCCCCCATTTTATAGAATCTGGGACTTGAAGAGTAAGGAACTAGCTTCAGGACTCAGAGCTAACTGGTAGAGAGGCTGGGAGTAAAATCGAAGTTTGACTATAGATCTGTGCTTTTAGCCATTATTTTATAAAGTTATAATGTCTTGTAAACATTTCCTAGTCCTCAAAAATGGGTTACATATCGCTCCTCTATTTTGAGTTCCTGGCACTTACTATTTTGCATTGAGACTGCTTCTTTACTATAAAGCTTTTGCAGATGAAAAAGTGTTTTCTTTACTATAATACCCAGCACATGGAGCTCAGGTAATAGGTGCTGAATTGGCCCCCAAATAAAGCTTATCACAGTAACTTACCTTAGGAGGCAGTCCTATTCGGTGAAATTTTCTCCCTACTTTTGGCACTTTCTCTAAAGCATACTTTTTGCCTCTAGCTTTTGCACGGTCAATTGTACTGTAGTTAAATGTCTCACTGACAAGCCAAACCACCTAGAAACATATGGTTTAGAAAAAGTTATTAGACTTTGCATAATATTATTTATATTCATATACACTATGAAACTCAATTGAATACTATAAATTAGCAAATTTTAATCCTACAAGAAATGCCTCAGAGAGGATCTAAAATAGAAAGGCTAAGGGAATTTGCAGTCAATGAAATGGCACATCTTTCTCTCTGAGAGAAGCAGCCTAAAATTAACCAGTAGAGGAAGGAAGTAAGAGTCTTAAAATGTACAATTAGGAATGAATATTTTGAGGAAGTTTTCCAAGTAAAAACAGTCTTTTGAACACATTAGTTATCTCTACCTTCAACAGAATTTCTAGATCCCTGACCTTTACCTGCTTTTTAAAAACTAGTTCTTTTTCCTCTTTTGTTAGCATCACCTCAGCTCATGTATGCAAGAGACATTCCCTTGAGTACTTAGTGGCTCTACACTGGAATCGATTTGTTAATCCCTCATGACTCTGAATTAACAAAAAAGGGAGCTTAATTTTAGGCTCTGTCGTTAGAAATATGTTTAGAGAAGTAGGCTGTAAACCAAAGTCCATGCTTAAAAACAAATTCTCCTTTACCCTTGTTTTTGGTACGATGCCCAGATGAAGCTTTTCATCCACTAGGGAGGCAGCGGCTTCAGAAAGGTATCCCTGGTTAGGAACCAAGCAGCCTCTGCCAAAGCAGCAAGGGCAGCAGACCTTATGAATATATTTGGTCCATTTTGGATTCAGTTGACTATAAGGCTCTTCCGATTTGGGTTTAAACACACCAATAATTCTCTATAGGGAAAAAAGTAGAAAATTTTATTAGACTTCTAATATAGAAGTAATCATCCATAAAGTTCATTCTGATAAATCTTCCCACCACAGACTTGTGCATAAAACCCTTAAATATTAAAGGATTTAATTCCAATTACATTTTTACATTCATTCTCATTTAACAGTCTAAAATCAGTAAGCCTTGGGGCTAGTGGTTTTCAAGTTGTGCTCTGAGAAACCCTGGAGAAGACGAGAGGGAAGGTGAGGCCAGGGCTCTAAGACCTCATGACACTTAACCAGATAGACTTCTATGCCACCTGCTTTATATTACTGGACTTCCAACTTATTAAAGGATCCCACTGATTTTAAAATGTGTAAAAACTACTGATCTAGATCAAATATTTATTATTCAGTATCTGTTAAATATCCAAAGTATATGTTATTTTGCTTATTATCTACTTTCCTCACTCAATGTACATTCTAAAAGGGCAGGAACTGTCTTAGAACTGTATCCCAAAAACTCAGAACAGTACTTGACACACGGTAGGCATTCAATCATGTTAAATTAATAAATCTAATGACAATATGTGTTCTCTACACAGGTGATAAACATAAAATATGAAAGTAATAATAGGCTATCGTAAACATTTATGTTGTCAGATTCTCTGACCCTAATCTTTTTTCCAATTATTTTTTTATGAACCAATTTTAAATAAAGTTTCTAGTTTAAAAAAATTTGCTCATGGATATCTTATAGTCTATAATCTTTATTACTAGTCTGATAACATATATTCATATTAAATTTAGGGGCTAGCCAAACCAGTTTGGCTCAGTGGATGGAGTGTTGGTCTGCGGACTGGGGGGTCCCAGGCTCGATTCCGGTTAAGGGCATGTACATTGGTTGCAGGCACATCCCCAGTGAGGGTTGTTCAGGGGGCAGCTGGTTGATGTTTCTAACTCTCTATCCCTCTCTCTTCCTCTCTGTAAAAAATCAATAGAGTATACTTAAAAAAAAAAAAAAATTAGGGGCTGAATTACCCTTAGATAAGAAGTAAAAATCTTACTATTAAGTATACAATTGCTCTATAATGTAAAAAGTCTAAACCACTAGTAAGAAAGTTAACAAGATGCTCTAGCTGGTTTGGCTCAATGGATAGAGCGTCAGCCTGTGGACTGAAAGGTCCCAAGTTCGATTCCAACCAAGGGCACATGCCTGGGTTGCGGGCTCGACCCCCAGTAGGGGCATGCAGGAGGCAGCCAATCAATGATTCTCTCTTATCATTGATGTTTCTATCTCTCATTCCCTCTCCCTTCCTCTCTAAAAATCAATAAAATATATTACAAAAAAAAAAAGTCAACGAGAACAAAATGAGAAATCAATAAAGATTTAGAATAAAGACTGAGACTGACATTACCTATATACTTAAAGCTAAAAAAAATACTTTATTTTAAAATATAACTTTAGCAGAGACCGGTTTGGCTCAATGGATAGAGCGTCGGCTTGGAGACTGAAAGGTCCCGGGTTCGATTCCGGTCAAGGGCATGTACCTTGGTTGCAGGCATATCCACAGTGGGGAGTGTACAAGAGGCAGCTGATCGATGACTCTCTCTCATCAATGTTTCTAACTCTCTATCTTTCTCCCTTCCTCTCTGTACAAAATCAATAAAATATATTTAATAAATAAATAAATAAATAAATAAATAAAATATAACTTCAATCTGTGCAAAAAACACACACATCTGGATGAAATTATAATCTCTGTTCCTCCTTTAAAAAAAAAAAAAGAACTGCTGGCTAAGCATCATTCAGAAAGTTTTTATAAATGATAACATAGATACTAGAAAAATTCTAGACTAAGTAGAACGAAGTCCCATATCAGCTTCTCTTTTCTGCCATAGAATTACACTTTGGTTCATTTCCCTTTCTAATGCTTTCAAACTTCAAACTGCCCAGGCTCCTTCTCTGGTTGTAATAACAGGAAAAAATATTCCTAGCATAAAATAAACCTTTGAAAAAAAAATCAAGCAACTTGGAAAAGACATTAGATTTTGAAAGTTTAAACTTCTACTTTGCTTGCTAATAGGATTATAGACTACTATAAGGTAAGGACTTATGATAAACACAACAAATCTACAGCTGAAAGTGAATAGATTAAAATCATTTCAATAAATGACTGAAACCAAGTATTGAAATAATAGAACCCCCTCACACACACATACAACCTGACCTTTATTTCTAAAAAGAAGGTGCAATCAGATTAAGAAAATATCTTTCTAAACTCACAATCACTTCACATTTAGTGTTTTCTAATTTCTGTAATAGGTAGTAAGTCTGTGAAATTCTCACCCTCTTAGGATCCTTTACAAAGTAACTTCCACTTGAACCTTGAGGGATTCTTTCTGGAAAAACTCCAAATTCTATTGCTTGCTCCGCTTTCAATATAGCATCAGCAAACCCTGGATCATCCACGAATGAATTCAACTCTGAAGAACCAACAATTATTGCATTGAGAAAATCAATGTTAATATAGCACATGAAGAAAAAGAAAGACCAGCTATGAAAATGCTCATGAAGTGAACCTGCAATATTGGATCAGGCTAATAATATTAGGACATGAAAGTATAAAAATATAATTAAGTATTATATAGGCTGCTTTGATCCTCCCTTTTCCCCACACTACCCCCACATCTCTTTAAGCTTCAGGTAATGACATATAGAACACAAGATCCCTATGGAATAATCACACTACTACACACAATACTTTGAACTCCTCTCTTCCAGTGATTTTGTTTTCCATTCTACCAAAATCTCCAACTGCAAGGTCACACCCCAGATCTGTTATTACCAACTAGAGGCCCAGTGCACGAAATTCATGCACAGAACGGGATTGGGGGAAGGGTCCCTCAGCTCAGTCTGTACCCTCTGGAAATTCAGGACAAACTTGGGGGATGATCAACTGCAGGTTTAGGCATGATCTCCCAGGAATTCCTGCGGGATCGGGCCTAAACCGAGAGTCTGACATCCCTCTCACAATCCGAGACCACTCCACTGGCTCCTAATCACTTGCATGTTGGCCTGCCTGATCGCCCCTAACTCCTCTCTCCCTGCCTGCCTGATCGCACCTAATCCCCTCTGCCTGCCTGATTGCCCCTAACTGCTCACCTGCCTGCCTGATCACGCCTCTGCCTTGGCCTCTTGACTGCTATGGAGAACACCTCTGCTTTGCCTCCACGGCTTTGTCCAGAAGGTTGTCTGGAAGGACATCCAGAATGATGTCCAAAAGGTTGTTCAGCTGTCTGGTCTAATCAGCATATTATGCTTTTATTATTATAGATTATTATAGACTAGAGGCCCAGTGCATGAAATTCATGCACTGGGAAGGAGGGCTGTTCCTCAGCTTAGCCTACACCCTCTCCAATCTGGGATCCCTCAGGGGATGTTTGACTACCAGTAGTTGGACATCCCTCTCAATCCAGGTCTGCTGGCTCTTAACTGCTCACCTGCCTGCCAGCCTGATCACTCCTTAACCACTCCCTGCCAGCCTCATCAACGCAACTGCTCCCCTGCCAGCCCAATCGCTCCCAACTGCCCTCCCCTGCTGGTCCAGTAACCCCCAACTGCCCCTCTCTGCAGACCTGGTTGCTCCCAACTTACCTCCCCTGCCAGCCCGGTCACCCCTAACTGCCTTCCCCTGCAGGCATGGTCGTCATTGTGTGTGTGTGTCCCCAACTCCCCCCCCCCCCCCAACCTCGCCCAACTGCTCTCCCTGCTGGCCTGATTGCCAACAATTATCCTCCCCTGCCAGCTATCTTTGATCACATGGGGGCAGCCATCTTGTGTGAAGGCGTGAGGGTCAATTTGCATATTTCCTCTTTATTGTATAGGATACTTATAATCTCTCCATACTTAGAATATCAAGCACCTTATATCTTCCTAATTCACTCTCTCTTAGTACCCTGAACCCCTAAATTCATCCACCCCACTGAGACCTACAAAGCAGTGATCTATCATGTTGCCACTGATCTTCACTGCCTTTGTGCCCTTATTTCCCTCCTTGGTCAGCTTAAATTAGGGTCAATCATCATACAATCATTCTCTTCCTCTCTGCTCTCATCAGGTCACCTGGAAAACCCCAATCATGGTTAAACCCAACTATCAGCTCACCATGACTAGGCTCAGATGGCTGAACTTGACAAGAGAAACACAAATACAATGCCTGAGCTCACTTTAAACCCATCACCACAAACCTCAGGTTGGCATCATGCTACTTAGGAAACCCTAATTTCCTATGTTATTGTATCGGAAGATGGGCCTTTCAGAGGTAATTGTACTTAGATTAGGTCATGAGGAAGGGCCTTCATAAAGAGATTAGTGCCTAGAACTCTCTCCCTCTCCCTCTTCCTCTGCCATGTGAGGATACAATGAGAAGGTGACTATTTGCAAGAGAGGGAGAGAGCCCTCACCAGAATATGACTATGCTGTCTCCCTAATTTTAGACTTCCCAGATTCCAGAACTGAGAGAAGTAAATGTCTGTTGGGTAAGCCACCGGTTTATGGTATTTTGTTATAGCAGCCTGAACTAAGGCAACTCCCCTGGTCTATAGACTCTCCTACTCTTCTGTATAATTACCTTATACTCTGTCCTCTCCTCAAATTCCCAACACCTACCTTCCTATTTCACTAAGAAAAGAGAAGCAATCAGAAAAATTATTAGCCCTCAGCACCACATATACCGCCCACATCCTATCCATTCATCTATCACTATTGTGAACTGTCCAAGCTCTAAGATCAACTCTTCTACTTTGTGTACTAGACCTTATCTTAGGGACTACTCCAGAACATTTCTTCAGTAATTCATCTCTGCATAAAAATTTCCCTCTCTACTGGATTTCTCTCATTCCCCACATCCAATCCATCAGCAAGTTGCATGGCTCTGCCTTAAATAAATATCCAGGATCCAACCACCTCTCACCATCTCCATTTCCACCACGTGAATCCAGTCATTATCAACTCTCACCTATGTTATTACAAGTCTCCTAACTGGTCTTCCTTTCACCCATGCCCTTTCTATATTCAACAAAGAAATTATAGCAATCCTTTTAAAATAAATCAGATCATACCATTCCTTTGTACGAAACAGCACAACGGTTTCCTGTCTCACTTAAAGAAAAAGTACGAGTCCTTATAATGGTCTCCAAGATGCTGCCCAATCTCCCTTAGCCTCCATTTTAATTTTGTTTTCACTTAACATATAATTTACTTATTTTGTGAGCTCCAAGAAGACAAGAATTTCTTTCACCACTGATGGCCAGCACTTTTGAAGTTCCTGGAACATATCAGGCACTAAATAAACACTTAGAGAATGAATTAATTGCTATTATATGCATCCAAGATTACAAAAATTCAAAACAAACTTTTCTTAATTTAAAATTTGCTTTAATTCAGACAGAAATAATGCTGTTATTTACTAATTTTTAAATGTTTGTGCTACAGAAAGGTTTAGGGGGTATATTTATCCTACTTAAAAGAATAAGTCATCTGTGCTCACTTTGGCAGCATGGATACTAAAATTGGAACAATACAGAGATTAGCATGGCCTCTGTGCAAGGTAACTCGAAAATTCGTTAAGCATTCCATATTTTAAAAAAGTAATCTAAGGATTTTAGTCATGGCTATACAATTGATATGCTAATTCCAAATAATTCTAATCTACCACATGAAAATCCCTGAGAAGGAAGGAACTTTTGTCTTTATTGTTCACTGTGTATCCCTGAAGAGGTGATACTTAATAATGAATTGAATAAGTGTATTATTTAAGTGCTAGAGTAATCATTATTAGGTTCATAAGTTTGGTGACCTGAACCCTGCCTCAGTGCTATTCATCCTTTAGCTCTCATATGGGATGCAACTTCCTCAGCTAAGTCTTCCCAGGCCCCTAAAAATGTAAGGCATAGCTTAATGGAACCCTCAGTTTGCCCCATCAAGCACTTATTTCAATCTATTAGAATTGTTTGTTTTAATTGACCAATTCCTCTATTAGGCTACAAAGCTATGTGGGGACAAGGCTGATGACCAGATTCCATTTGATTTCCCAAGACTTCCGTTTCTACTAATATCCAGTAGGCACTCAAACATTTCATGAATGCTGAATCTCTACAATAAATGGAAAATAAATAATAGATTTATTCTTATTACTGGAATAATCTCCAACACACAATTGCTTACTACCTTTCAAAAGCTATTATGGAGAATTGTTCGGACACATAGAACTTCTACTCTTCTAATAACTTCTTCTAAATTAAGCCAAATTATCAGCATCTTGAATCTAGATCCAGAAATGCTGATAGCACCACTCCGTAGAATTACTTCTATTGAAATGGGCTTCAGGGAAGTTACAAGGAATAGTATAAAATCAATCACTTTTATGACAAAGGTATTATTCAACATATAGTCTCTTCTCCAAGAGAATACATGATAGGCTATCATTTGTCAGTTCTGTGTGTTTGTTTGTTTGTTTTTTTCAAATAATGTTTTAACTTGTATGGGCTCAGTGATTATATTTCTCTCAAGCTGTCTGCTCAGTAATCTTAAAATCAAATTTTTTGGCTGCCTGCATCAAGTATCTGATGTGCAATTTGTGTACTTATCCAGCCTTCATTTTATGTAATTTATTATCCTTATTTCCCATTCTCATCTTTTCTCCTTACTTTTATTTATTTTTTATTAAACTTATTGGGGCAACATTGGTTGGTAAGATCATATAGGTTTCAAGTGTACACTTCTATAATATATAAAAATGTATCTTTACTTTTAAGTGATTTTATTTTGTTCCAACATTTATAAGCCACCATGAATCACTAAATGGCTTATAAAAACACATTTCCTTTTACTTTAGTAGCTCTCTGTGAATTCTACCTCTGTTCTCTTGTTAGGCTCTCTTACCAAAACTGATATGTGCTCCTCATTTGTGTTAACTGCAACCTTGGGAAAGTCACTTCATCTGTCTCTGCTTCCTTAAAATGAGAATAAAAAATAGTACTCACTTCATAGGGTCAGTTATGAGTAATATATGATGCATATAGAACTATTAGAGGCCTGGTGCATAGGTACGGTCCCTAGGCATGGCCTTCGATCAGGACCACCTTTCTCAGCTGCCTGCAGTTGGCCCCACCCCTGCTGTCACCCATCCCCAGTTCTGCATTTGCCGTCAGGTGATTGGAGCCTGCCAGCTGGGGGAGGAACTGAGAGGCTGGCTGTTTCCATCCACTTGGTGGCCCCCGCTGCGGGTTGCCCTGTGTGTGTGGGGTGACTGGTGGGGTGCGGGCCTTGGCCTGGCGCCACTAGTGTTCCCCACCATCCACCCCTGGTTTCCTGTTCGCTATCAGGCGATGGGAGCCTGCAAGCCAAGGAAAGGGACCGAGAGATGGTCAGTACGTCTCATAGTGACTGGTCAAGAGCGGTCATTCTGCCGTTAGGGTCAACTTGCATATTACCCTTTTATTCTATAGGATACCCTGCATTTACTGTTATGTAGGTATTAGTTATTACCACCTTTATTATTCTCCAATTCACTGATTAAAATGACAGGACAAGGAGTGCCACTAATCCTTCTACTTTGACACTGATCCAATGACACTGGTTTATGCTGGTTCTAGTCTTTGTCAAATGCCTTGTTAAAGATGAGACACATGACAGCCATCACTAGTTAAAGTACACAAATTACATAAACAGGATAGTCACAAATTATTCTACTATTAAACTACAGGCAAGAATTTATTGAAACTAGAGAGGTGGCTTTGTGGAAAATGGATGGAAAGGACAAAGGAAGTTAATGTCCTCACTGAAAAATAACTAAACTTAAAAATCTAGATAAATTACTCAATCATAAATTTTTAGAAGACTGGTTTAAAATTTGTAAAATAACATTTACAATTCAGAATTACTTTTAAATACATCAAAATAAGACCGCCATAATAAACCACCAAAAGTAACAACTATTTTATAACACTTGGGGATGCACAGCAAAATGGAAAAAAAAAAATGTAGGCCTAGCTTTACCACTTCCTGGATACTTAACTTTGGCTGACCTCTGAGATTCTCTAACTACTAGTCATTATAGTTTTATTCATTTTCAATCCTCACAACAGGGATTGGGGGCGGGATAACTACTTGCAGTGCTGCAGTGAGATTTAATGAAGTATAAAAAAAAAGACCTTAAACCATAAACTGTGACAGAAGTTATTATCATTTAAAAAGGTAGGAATTCTCTTTATTAATCCATTTGTCCTAGTATTCTGAGTACATTATCCCTCTTTTTACTTTTTCTAGCCTTCATATTATTTAGAAAACCTCACTTTCACAGAATAAACACCCTTTTAAGGTTTTAGGCTCTTAAAATATAGCTACACAGATTAACTTTGGGGTAGAAAAGGCAAGCTAACCACAAGGATCTTAAGTTACTTCACAGACTGGATTCTACGTTATACCCAAATTATCAATGTAGCTAGGGGAATGTGGGTCCATTTGCGAAATGGTTCCAACTTCATGCTTGTTCTGTTAAATGTCCTGTCGATGCATCCATTAGCTGACATTATAATGATGGCCGACCTGCATCTCCGAACCAGTTTGCTAAAGCTTAATTATTAGTGAAACCCTTGAGTTGGAAAGTCTGCTTCCCATAGGCCTCTCTGATTTATTTACTCTAGAATATGTTGACTTTTAAGTTCACCTACAATTTAAATAACCTAATCTCTCTTAAAGTCTTCATAATGTAGAAGGCCTGTTAATGTACTAGCAGCAGCAGAGGTAAAATCTAACGATTCCGGAAAAACAGCAGTATTAATGAAAACCAGGTGTTTGTTTTTAAGCTATGGCATAGGGCACACACCAACCATCTCATTTAAGCCCTCCAAACCACTAGCACACAGGTGTTAGCACAACTTTACAAACTAGCTGGTCTCTCACAAGTCTACTCTTGGCATGTCAAAAAACTTGCTTTCTTAATATCCATGCCTGCAGGAGTGTCCCTAAATTTTACTAACTTTCAACATCATTTCAGTTACCTTCTTTTTCACCTGAGGCTATCAGTCCGCTTAATAATAACAATTTTTCTTCTTCTTCTTAAGGTAAATAGAAATGATGCAAGAAAAAAAAAAAAAAAAAAAAAAAAAAAAAAAAAAAAAAAAAAACACTGCAAGGAGAGAAAATAGGTACAGAAATTCAACTGCCTCTGCCCCCTCTGGCCAACGTCACAATCACAATAACATTTAACAGCAAAAAAAAAAAGTTTTCGAAACGTATCCCAGGGGCAGCTGGACATTCGTTACTGCACCATGTTGCAAGCTCACAACTCCGGGAACTTTTTTTTTTTTTTTTTTTTGATGGCTCAGGGTTCTTAACCCAAAACTCAAGGCCAAACTTGAGCCAATAACATAAGGTCACTTTACAGTGTTCCGCTTCCTTCGGTGTGTGATGCTAAAAGTTGAGGCTCCCGCTCCAGGGAGGGCTGGGGGGCCAGGGTTTGGGACAGCCACAGCCTTAGGTGAAGCAGCCGCTGGAGAGGGGGCGGGACACCCGGGAGCAGGAGAGAGAGGCCGGGGAGGTGTCCCGGTCTGAGCAGCGGAGGGTCCCCGGCTGGTGTCCCGGCCGGGAACCCCGGCGACCAGCCTTTCCTAACACACAAGCATGTGTGAGACCCGGAGAAGGAGGCCGGGGGCCGGCGGGGGGCCCGGAGGGGGGCCCCGGGGAGGGGAGGGGAGCTGAGCGGGCCTGGGAGGGTCGCGGGGAGGACGGGAGAGCCGAGTCCCACCTGAACTCAGGGAATGGTCGCAGTCCCCCCCATGGGTGGGCGAGCTCCTCGGGAGCCCCAAATCCAGGGAGGGGCAGCAGGGCGAGTCCTTGGGCCCGAACAGCAGTTTCTCGTCGATCGCGCTAAGGGAGGCCAAGCCCTCCTTCTGGGCGGCCTCCACCATCCTCACGGCGGTCCCCGGGGCGCTCCTCCGCGGCTGGGCCCAGGCGATCCGCGGCAGCAGCGGCTCGCGCTCCTCGTCCTCCCCGTCCAGGAGAGCGCCGCCCGCGGCCGCCCGCCGCTCGAGCTCGGGGGACTCCTCCATGGGCCCCGCTCTGTGCTTTCCGCACCGAGACCGGCGGGGCTCAGAGAGGCGGGGTGTCCGGGTCTGGTCTCGGCATCGCGGGGACACCAGGGCAGCTGGCTTAGACGAAGCCACCTCACTACCTAGCGGCGGGGCAGGTTCCCGCCCAGCGGTGGTCCCGCCCCGCCGCTCGCCGCGCCCCACCTCGTCCCGTCGCGCGCCTGCGCCTGCCGCGTAAGAGCCCGGGCGTCGGTGGGCGGGGCGCGGGCGTCGGTGGGCGGGACGCGAGCGTTGGTGGGCGGGGTGCGGGCGTTAGTGGGCGGGGCACGGCACGTGACTAGAAACCTCCCCTGCTTGAGCGTTGGGGAAGACGGGTGCGGAAGGCTGCAGGTGCACCTCGTGGAGCTGTTGGGACAGAGTTCAGTTACTTCCTTAGCGTACTCTCTCCATTCTATGCCGGCCTGTTTCCACTGTAGATTTCCCTCACAGCGCTTGCCTCAGTGCACCTGTACATTTCTGCTAACATTTGGCCCTTAGAAATTCACGAAAGGACTGTGTCTTTTTTTTTTTAACTATGTTAATTTTTTTAATTTTTAAAATTTCTTTATTGATTATGGTATTACATAATTGTCCTCATCCCCTCATTCCCATCCCAAACCTCTCCCCACGTATGCTCCACTTCCCTTTTGTCCATGACCACTGTTAGGCTTATATGCATGCATACAAATCCAGTTGTTGATCTCTCCCTCTCACCCCCACCCTCCCCTACCTTCCCTCTGAGGTTTGACAGTCGGATCCTTGCTTCTCTGGCTCCCGATCTGTTTTTATTCATCAGTTTATGTTGTTCATCATGTCCCCTAGATGTGTGAAATCATGTGATACAAGCAATACCCTTATAAGAATCAAAACTGAGACAAACCATAATGGTTATACCTTGTCTTTTATTCAGACACTCCAATATTGGTAGTTGGCATTTTCTTTTTTTCCCCCTGACTAATCTAACTAAAAGTTTATCACCTTTTTAAATCTTCAAATAAACTATCTCTTGTACTATTGATTTTGTTTTCTAGTTCCTCAACTTTTGCTTTTTATTAATTTGTATCATCCCATTAATTGGTCAGCCAAGGATTTGGGCAGAGCGTATGTATAAATTTTGGAACGCTCTCCCCTTGTTCCTCCCTTCCCCCCATCCCCCTCAATTTCTAGCTGCTCTGGAAACCCCTACTTCATCTGTTAATTCCTTAAGGCTTAAGCCATTAAGACAGTGGCTTTTTTATTGAGTTCCAGCTGCCTTTTACAGTGCAAAATGAGTAATACTCTCCAATGAAAAGATGTATGAGCATAAATTATACTCATTATATTTCAATTCTTTGAAGAGTGGCCATCTCTTCAGTTATTGCCAGATGGCTTTTGATTACTTTCTCATGTCTTCAAGTATAAGTATGCATCACTTACTGATGGGGATATGCTCTGACAAATGCATCATTAGGCAATTTTATCTATTTTTTAATATATTTTTTTATTGATTTCAGAGAGGAAGGGAGAGGGAGAGAGAGAGAGATAGAAACATCAATGATGAGAGAGAATCATTGATTGGCTGCCCACTGGGGATCAAGCCCACCACCTGGACATATGCCCTTGGTCAGAATCAAACCTAGGACCCTTCAGTCCACAAGCCGACACTCTATCCACTGAGCCAAACTGGCTAGGGCTCATTAGGCAATTTTATTGTTGTGCAAACATCACAGAGTATACACTTACACAAACCTAGATGGTATAGCCTACTACACACCTAGGTTAAATGACATATCCTATTGCAACAAGGCTATATACCTGTACAACATGTTACTGTATTGAATACTGTAGGCAACTATAACACATTGCACTATGATATTATAACAGATATGACATCACTCGGTGATCGCATTTTTCAGCTCCATTATAATCTTACTAGAGGCCTGGTGCACAGATTTGTGCACCAGTGGGGTCCCTTGGCCTGGCTTGCGGAGATTGGGCCAAAGTCGGCTCTCTGACATCCACTGAGGGATCCTGGATTGCCAGAGGGTGGTTCTCAGGTGACACACCCTGGAATCAGGCTCTGTCTTCTCTGGTTCTGGGTGCGTCACCTGAGAACTGCAGTTCCCAAGTCACTGCAGCTCAGCAGCTCCTATATTGAGAGTCTGACCCCTGGTGGTTAGTGTGCTTCAAGCTACCAGTTGAATGGTTGGATGGTCGCTTAGGCTTTTATATAGAGAGATGGGACCACTGTCATATATGTGATCCATCACTGACCAAAACATGGTTTATGTGGTATATGACTGGAACTGTTCTTATATTTTGTCCAAAGTTTATAATCCTATCTAATAAAGAGAAAATATGCTAATTGACCAGCACACACTCACAAATATAGTGGCATCCACAGCCACAAGATGGCAGTGCCCAGTCCCCTCAGCCTCCCAGCCACTCAGGGCCATCCCGAAGCACAGATAAGCCTCAGATGTTGACTGCCCAGCCACCTAAGGCCAGCCTGAGGGACAACCAAATGACTGACAAGCAGGCTGCATGAGGTGACCAGACCAGCAGGGTGGCTGTGAGCAGTGACTAGGCTGACAGGGGGGGCAGTTGGGGACAACCAGACCAGTGGGGGGTTGCAGTTGGGGGTGATTAGGCTGCTGGGGGGGAGGGGAACATGGCAGGTGACTAGGTCGGTGGGAGGGAGCAGTTGGAGGCGACCAGGCCGGCAGAGGGGGGCAGTTAGGGGTGACCAGGCAGGCAGGTAAGCGATTAGGGGCCAGCTGTCCAGGATTGTGAGAGGGATCCTGGATTGGAGAGGGAGCAGGCTGAGCTGGATTAGTACTCATGGCTCCTGCCTGTGATCTCAGGCTCCTCTCCCCCCATGCACTAATTTCATGCACTGGGCCTTTAAAATGTTAGTCCTATATAACCTCCTATGACATATTTTATTATGCATCTTTTGGTGAGATGAATGGTGCTATATTTTTGTCAATAGTTCACATGTTAGCAGAGGAATATTAGTTATTGCTAGATAAGATAAAATTCATCATCGGTTTTATTCATAGTTTGTTTTTATAGTCATAAACCCTGAGAAAATCTGTCCAAATAAATAGGTAAATGTGGAAAACATTTTCTAATAGCAGTGTCACTCAAAATTTTAATCTCCTTCCAAGATAATGCTAAAAATCACATAGTCTTCTATTACTAAACATTATTTTTTATGATTTATCATCAGGCACATTCTCCTTTGTTTGAGTTATTCACTTTCTCAATTTCTTGGAAGTATACCAAAAAGGCTTTTTAAAGACATCTAATTATTAATAATTATTAATAATTAATAATGTAACTCTTTCATTTCAAGGCACCTTATTTTTTTAACTGAGAGTTGAGAAAATAAAGATATTAACATTTCTACAAACCTTTTGCTAATATAATATTATTTATAAAAATTATTTATTTTATCATGAGCTTTAAGTATATAATTTTAAAACCTTGGAACTACAGATTTAGCTCAATCACTGGATGTACTCTAGAACTTAAAAGTTAACTGGCAAAGCCAGCCTTCGTTATCAAACCAACCGGCCAAAACAGACTTTTAAAAATTCACACGAACATGTTAAAATATACCCCTGTCAACATCTCGGCTTTGAATTCTAAGGCTCTGTTGCCTTGAGCATTTCTCACAGATATTTTCTTTAATTTGTTCCCATGGAATAGTCCTTAGGAATGTATTCTTTGATAGTCATCAAGGTTTTTAAAAGGCAACATCTTTAAATGAAACTTGCCCTCACTCACACAACCTCACTCTACCATACCTACGTATTCAGAACTTCCTAACACAGGCCGAAAAGCCCATGTCCAGTATCACCATCACTTTTAAAATAATGCTCCTTTCATGAGAAAAGACATGAAGCACTGCTGCTACCTTATAGATCTCCGTTAGAGGAGGCTTTGCCAGCTGTATTTCAGATCCAGTCTTTGTTGGGGCCCCAGGTTTTTGGCACCATGAAGCAGGCTCCACTGGAAGATTCAGGATAGGCATTCCAATACCAACTAGGGTATTACAATTCAATTCTGGCACTAACCACCAGAGTTAGCACAAATCCCGCAAGTTAAGGGGTCCATCCTCTGAAAGACTGTCATTTTGGTGGTCCCCAGGCCACCCTCATTTATGACCAACAGGCTATGAATTTGGGGGCCCTCTTGTTCTCTAACTTGCTAGAACAACTTAAGAAATCAGCAAAGATCTTAAGGTTCTTAACCTCATGAAGAGATCAGGATGACATGGAACTGGTAGACAATACAGCATGCTGAGACCTGTGTGGAGGACGTACAGGCTGCTATTGAACATTAACTGAGTATAGATGTTAACCACATCTCCAAAATACTTTACAGCAATACCTAGATTAGTGTTTGATCAAATAACTGGGGATATAGTTTAATCAGGTAGATACATAAAATTACCATCACATGGGCCATTTTTTTCTTTCCCTGCCTGGCCATTTCATGCCCTTGCTTCATCTGGAGAGGGACTCGATGTCCCCAGCAAGGTTTCTGTGAGGCCGCCTTCACCAACCAGATTCTGTGTCCCTCCTCATTAACCCCAATTGAATTCTCTAAAGGTAGCAGTAACATTATACAATTTAGTGATAATTTTTTTTTAACCTCTTCACCAACTAGAACATAAGCCTGAAAAGCAAAAACTCTGTTTAGTTCACTGTTATGCTCGTCAGCCAGCACTGGACCTGCCACATAGCAGGCACTTGATTAATAGTTCCCAAGTGAATGCGTCTGGTCCAACTGGACTCCCTGGTTGAAGTAATAGGTTTAGAGATAACGAGCTCCTTACTGAGGATTACCGTCCAGATTAGTAGCAGGGCTGGATTAGAACTCATGGCTCCTGCCTGTGACCTCAGGCTCCTCTCCACTTCGCTGCTTCCTTTTGTGCAGGAAGGTTAAGATCCACCAAATGTGGTGAGGTTGAGTTTTCAAATTGTGTATATTCA